GTTTCGACAGATTTTGCTGCTTTGTTGATCGCGAAATCCAACACCATCGTCTAGTCGACGACTCGGTCTCCTCGTCTCGGGCGGGTCGAGAGTTCATCTCAACCGTGACGGCCTTAACGACACGAATGACTTATTGTTCGAGTCGACCCACGCCTCGAGAGACCTCGCTCGAGTGTCTCGAGGCGTCGAGGATTTGCGGTCGTGTAGTTTCATGTCTTGTTCAGTCCTGCCTCCGGCAACCAGGTCGTCTCGTCGGCCAATCCCGTCGATTCGCCTGTTCGTCATTCCCGCCAGTTGTCACGGCAACCGACAAGCGACAAGCACCAATTCCTTCGACAGTGTCATCAATCATCAGATCAGCCGGGCAACCCGCATAGCGAAGAGCCACAAGAGGAAGTGCCCTAACATCCTCACAGCCCCACACACAACCACACACAATCACACACCAGTTCACACAGACGCACAGATACCAGCACCAGACAGCCGGTGGAGTGATGCTGTGACGTCGACCGACCGGAACAAGGGCTTGTGGCTTACCGAAAGCCTCTCGCTATTGTGCAGCCTCATTACGCCACAGGCCAGTGTCTGTCTGTATGTATGTCTGTCTGTATGTATGTCTGTCCGTGTCTGTGATGATGACGGTACCATCAGTGGGGGCTTCGCTGAGACCGATTCCGTGACTGATGGCCACAAGTGATAGTGCCGATGATGCTGATCTGGCTTCCTCTCTCTCTCTCTCTCTGCCTCTCTCTCTTTTTTCTTTCTCTCTCTCTCATTCTCTCTTCGCCTCTCTTTGCCTCTATTTCTCTCTCTTTTGCCCGCTCCAGCTATTACGAGGCTGCTACTGCTGCTGCTGCTGCTGTTGCTGTTACTCCTACTAATGCTAATGAGGAGGAGAAAGACGACGACGACTAAGAGCAGGAGGAGGAGGAGGATGCTGATGATGGTAATGCTAGTTGTTGTGCAGTTGTTACTGTTGCTCTTCTCTCTTGCATCCTGGCTCGCGACTGGCAAACTTGTCAACATCAGATAGGGCTTGATTTATGATCCCGACAAAGGCTCTTTCATCCCTCCATTTCTCGGCTGACTTCTGAATACCAACAGGCCCTGACACAGAAATAGACATAGACACACAGACATACGAACATACAGGCACACTTTGCCGGTGGAAAGGACTTGGCTTTTAGGTTGTCCGGGCCTGCTTCTGCATTAAAGCCATAATACTTCTTGGCCCCTCGTGTCGGTTTGTCCGTGTCGAGCCAAATTCTCCTCCAAGTCTCGTACAGCCTCATTCCACTTCACTCCACTCTACTCCACTCTCCTTCACTCTACTCCACTCTACTCCACTCT